AGTCCATGTACTGCCCCCTCAGCTAATGAAGCACAGATCCCCAAGATAACTGGGTACACTCCAGTTAGCAGGACTGCACAGATAAGGCCCAGAGGCCACTGCAGGATCTATCTGCAGATCTGGGTCTCTTAGGGGAGGGGGAGACTGACCCTATCTTGCCCTGGATGCCTGGGCTGTGACTCTGAGTCATCCACTTCCTCCTCCCTTAGTTTGGAGGATGGGGCACCCCTTCTCTGACCCTAACTACTCTGGAGGGATAAATGGGGAGGAGGGAGCAGGCTGGGTAGAGAAAAGCAGGCCTGGCCAGGGTAGATTCTCCTGACTCAGAGACCCCAACATCTGAGTATATGCCTGGAGCAGAGTGCCCAAGCCTATGCCCAGAGCACTGACACCCCAGACCCCAGGGTGGAGCAACCCCCAGTCCTGACGGGCCCCACCCTCTGCTGACCCCAGCCAGCTCTTACCCCTGGCCAGGCTCACACTGCCCCCTCTTGGTTCCTCCCAGATGCTAAGCCCAATGCTGAGGTTGCTGGTGCTAGTACTGCCCCTCCTGTCCAGCCTGGTCCACACAGTCCCTGGTGGGTCCTGCCTGGGCTGGCCCTGTCTCTGCCTGTGGCCCCACACTCCACAGGCTGGAGAGGGTGGGCTCAGAGAAGCACAAGGCAGGGTTGATCCAGGGTGGGGCTGTGATCTGGTTTTGAGGTTGCTCCTGGCCCCAGACCCATGCCTGGCCCTCCCACCATGATGGTATAGTGAGGGGCCAGGAAGTCTCTGGCAGCAAGTGGCCCTGGCAGGTGAGCCTGAGGGCAACACCTCACATTGGATGCATTTCTGCAGGGCTCACTCATCCACTCCCAGTGGATGCTGACTGCAGAGCACTACATAAGACTGTGAGTGTCCATGGCCTAGCAGGTAGAGCATGGGGCTAGTTACCTCCATGGTGCCAAATGTGCTTGGCCTGCTCAAACCCCCTGAGATAGAGCTTCCTCTCCCCAGAAATGTCATAAATCCCACAAAAATCAGAGTGCAACTCTGTGAGCCGCACCTCTATTACCACGACCAGCTGCTGCCCATCAGCCAGATCATCTCGCACCCCCAGTTCTACACCATCCAAAATTGCACAGACTTCGCCCTGCTGGAGCTGGAGGACCCTGTGAACATCTCCAGCCACATCCACCCCGTCTCCCTGCCTCCTGCCTCAGAGACCTTCCCCTCAGGGACACTGTGCTGAGTGACAGGCTGAGGTGATGTGGACCATAGTCCGTGGCAAGGACAGCAATGGCTTGAATGGGAAGAAACTATGTGACACCATGGCTCCAGCCTTGATTTTTCTTCAGGGTCAAGGATTGGCAAGCCGGCTCAGGGAGTGGAAGCTGAAGCCCTGAGAAGGGGAGGTGGCCAAGACACCAGGTGCAGGAGCAAGGCCTTGGAGTCCCCAGGTCTAGGATAACCTGGGTCCCTGAGCATGTCAATTGGCACCCCTGGCCTCTGGCCCTCACTGCCTGATGGAGGCACACTCAGGACTTGTGTTTCCTGGATTTGATGTAAGGAGAGAGAAATCAAACCTGTCAAGTATGTCACATGAGTAGGGAGAGCTTGCTGATCTTGAGTGGAGTGGCCGTCCTTTCTCTGTCTCATGGGCCAGGGACAGAGCTTTTGGTGATTGGGTCTTAGCAGGAAGTATCGAGTGAGGCTGTACAAAACTTGTCTGACCCTCCAGCACCCACATTTTCACTTCTCCTAGAAGGTCTTGTCTCATTTTATCCACAACTCAGACCAGAACTTTGGGGACACTGCCATCACTGTCCTCGGCTATGACCTCTGGTTCCTGTTCATGAAATCCAAGCCTTCATCCCCTGGGCAGGTAATGTCACAGTGTCCCACCCCACCTCCCTATGCGATGGAAAGGAACTTGATTGGGGCCAAGGCAGCACTAGGACCCAGGGACCTAGAAAGGGGAGGTGGGAGGCTTTGGCTCTGTCCTCACCATCTGGTGGCTCTCTGGTGACCCTCAGGAAACTCCTCCCTTCTCTAAATGGGCTCAGTAAGGTCAGGACTCCAAGTCCAACCCTGAGGAAAGAGGCCTGGTCAGCAGCACTCACCATCTGGGTCCCCCAGATCCTAGCAGGTCTGGCAGATGCCCCTCAGATGACATATTTCACTGAGCACATTTCAGCCCCATGGGTCCCCACATGGCCCGACATAGTATCCTCTCCCCACAGTGCACCTGCCCATCCCCCATCATGGAAAACTACCTTAGTGACGCTAAGTACCACACTGGCATCAACGTGGGGAACAATGTCCACATTGTCAGCGTCAACATGCTGTGTGCAGGGAGGGGCATGATTACTGCCAGATGGGTCCCTCATCCCCAGAACCCACCCACTCACCTGGGTCTCGCCCCCAAGTGCTGACTCTTGTCCTCCCCAGGGGGACTCCGGAAGGCCGCTGGTCTGCAAGGTGAGGGGCACCTGGCTGTAAGCAGGCGTGGTCAGCTGTGGTGAAGGCTGTGCTCAGCCCAACCAGGCTGGTATCTACACCTGCGTGACCCACTACCTGGACTGGATCTGCCACTATGTTCCCGAGGACCCCTGAGCTGGGTTGGCAGGGCTGCCCCTGCACCGGGGAGAAGCAGCCCCTCTAGTTCCCAGCATGCTGCCTCCACCCCAGGTGGCACCCACTCCACCTTCCCTGACCTGCCCTGAGCCCCTTCCCCTGTCCCGTACCCCCTCTCCTGGCACCTCTTCCAACTCCTCCATCCTTCTGATGCCCATGTAGCTGGTGGCAGGCACTAATCCTCCTGGTCACTGTGTCTCATTAAAGTACATGAAAAGGACCTTTGATTGTCCCTGTACAGTGGCTGTGTCACTGGGAAAGGAAGGGATCCCAGGTAAGGCAGAGGTAGAGCTGTGTGGTTGTGGAGTTCCCACCCCCTTGGTGCTGGCATATTGCCATGGACTAGGGTCTCCTCCACAGCCCTTCATCCCCAGAGACCACTTCTCTCTGCACAAACTCATTTCCTTTTGGTTATTGGCACCATGGCCTCAGGACAAGTAGATAACTTGGGCACCCCACAACTAGCCAGGTTAGGAAATAGAGGATTGTAAATCCTCTTCACCCATGGCACAGCCTCTGCCCCAAGCATCCTCCCCACTGTCCTGACTGGCCCGCGGCAGGAACTTTCCCTGTGTCTGATGTAAAGATCCTCTGACTGATCTGCTTGGAGTGTCCCCTATAGATTTGCCTTTCCCCGAACTCTGGGTCATGTTCTCCATGTGGAGCTGAGGACATTTCTTCTCCCTGCCGTACAGAAACCCATGTGGTGGCCATGCCCAGGCTGCTGTGCTGCACTTTAGAGCGTTCTCATCTGGGGCTCCAGGACTGAGCTGGTTGTGGCAGTTCCCATGCACATGGTGCCAGGTGTCTGAATCATGTCAACAAGGGAAGAATTGGGGGAGGCACATCCTCTACTTTTCTAGACAATGCCAAACTTTTCCAAAGGGGTGTACCTTGGCCCTCTTCCAAAAGAAGCAGGAGTATAACCAGCACTTCCCCTCCAAAGCACTGATGCTGTCTAGCTGTGACTTTCCATTCTCAAGTGGGGTTGTGATTTCTTACAAAGGTTTTAACGCAACTTTTTTTTAAACTCAACTTTTAATGGTAACACTTTTGAGATTTTTACCTAAAGTACCTATTGTGTATAGAACAATACATCCTGTCGGGAGAGAGCCATCCACACCATCCTGGTCAGAAATCAGTCCCCAGAGGCTTTTGTCCCCATACTTGTCTCATCTGATCTTATGGATGTGCCGACTGTTCTCTGCCTCCCGCTGGTCTTTTATTTGAAATTTGCGCTGTTTCCCCCTTTGTCTGTATTAATCATGCTGTGACCGCACTGCATTACCGGGGCTATTTCATGGTTAAGATTGCTTCCTTCCAGCAGATTCCCAGAGAATAAATGTCTGTGACAATGCTACACTGTTTATAGAAAGGTGGTTTCCCTGTATCACTGGCCAGACCTGGATGCACATGTAAGACTTAATGTATCACATGCATGTATAATAGTGTGCCCTGCATGATACATGTGATACATGATGTGATACATGATGTGATACATATCATTTCCATCACTTTGAAAAATATTCTATTTTTAAATTCATGTAACAAATAACATCCTTTTGCAATGTGCCCTTTGCCTACCTATCATTTCTTTCTCATTTTTCCCCCCAAGTGGTTTATTTTCTAAGATGGTTCAGCTTTTCCTTTGGCAACTAAGCTTTTGCCGTTTTAGATGGAGATTGCTGCTCAACTTCCTCCTCCTCCTCCTCCTCCTCTTCCTCCTCCTTCTCCTGCTCCTCCTCCTCTTCCTTCTTCTTCCTCCTCTCCTCCTTCTCCTCCCCCACCTCCTCCTCTTCTTCCTCCTCCTTCCTCTTTTTCTTTTTTTCCATGAAAGAAAACTTTAATCTCTGTTGCAAAAGCATCTTTATGAAGTAGAAATTCGTTTCAATAATATTACTAGAGAGTATGTTCTAGAAAGTGGAGGTAACTGGATGTAAAATTTGGGCAGCAATTTAGTAGAACAGTCCCAGATTATTAGGCTGAGCCCAACACCTAATGAGGACGAAAGCCTTGTCTGGGGGGAATTTTGGGCCATACCTGAAGAAATATTACACTGTCCATGAACCAAATTGAATTATTTTCGCAAGTGTAAAGTGTGTAAAGTTTCATACAGTAAAAGTTTTTTCTACATGCATTTCAATTTCACAGCAAGAGTGGCATAGAATATCTAAACACAGAAGAGAGCATTCATGCAAGATATCTAACTCGTTGATATAACAATGCATACACTTCAAAATGATTACACTATCATTTCCTCTAGGGCTTTCTGCAGCTACAAGGTGGCGGTTATGGAAAGCATACCTCCTGGTATCAACATCTAGAAAGCACCCACCACCTTCTATGGGTGTTCTCTTTTTGCATTTTTTCTTCATTTATCTTAATCAACTCTGCTGTTGTTGCTGCTGCTTAGCAAAACTGGTAAAAACAAAATTGTAATCACTGAACATAGCACTCTGGCAATCAAGCTGTTTAAAACCTTTAATCTTCTGGGGTGAAGAAAGCACTGTGCAACATTTAGAACTCTGATTAACAAACAAGATGGTCACAAATTTTCCTGGCTTGAAGACTTCCACAACTTTCCTGATCAGGTCATCGTAGGAGGTCTGACTTAAGTTTGTTTCAAAGCTAACATAAGAAAACTCTGCTTCTGGAGTGATGTGAATAGTCCAATAAGTTCCATCCGATTTCATTCCATTCACTGAATACCCACATGGATTGAACAGTGTGGCACCAATGATAGAACCTGGTATCAGGTCATGAATTCCACTCTCACGAGTGACATCCTTTGCAGTAACACCATCTTTCATGTAGAACTTGTCCATAACTCCTGGGTCAAGCTCGCTCATCAGAATTTCCAGGGTCTGATCTGCCTGCTTACTCGACTCTGGGAAATCCAGAGTACACTAGTACCAACAGTCAGAATTGATATGTCCCATACAATATGCTGCTCCATTTGGGAAAATTGCATTAGGAAACTCTGTTTCTTCCTGGAAATTCCGGTGTGGGTACCCTTGGTGAGAAGGGTTCACGAAATTCATAGGAGAATAAAAGAAGCTTTGAATCGATTCAAACCCACTGTGGTCCCTAGCAAGCTTCAACAGGGGAACCAGTGCTTTCAGTAAGAGGGTGGAACCACCTGTCTTCAAAATGAAACGCCTCTTGCAGACAAACATGCTTCTCTCACTGAGTACATAAGCTTCCTGCTTATCAGTTTTTGTCACACTTACCATTGAACATTGCACATCCTTCAAAAGTACATCCCACTCAGATCTCAGAATAGTGTGAAGATCCTCAGATCCCTGGTTGGTGTCGGGTTGCTGACGGGAGAACCAAACCTCCAGCAGCTTCTCGGTCCCTTCGAAAAAATGTGCAGCTTCCATCACCGTGAGACTAGCGAACAACCAACAACCACAGAAAATCAACTAAATTAAATCTCTTCTCCCGCTGCTGCCACAGCCACTGCAGATTATTCCAGCTGTGTTGCTATAAAGTTCAGGTTCCTTTTTTTGCTATAATTTTATATTAACTTTTTTAAAAAAAGGATTAATAAAATTTTCCCAGCTTTTCTGAGCGAAAGTTGAACGTGAGTCTGTTTGGAAATAGAGGCAGATACAGTTCAGTCTCTTGTAGTCCGCTGCTTTCCCATTAGAGAGAGTAGAGCGAACGCTAACTAATGTAGCCACCCATACTGTGTAAGTCCTCTTTTTCTTAATTTTGAGATAAAGTATTGCTAAATTGCTCTGCCTAGTCTTAAACTTGCAATCCTCCTGCTTTAGTCAGTCTCCCAGAGTGCTGGGATTACAGGTGTGTGCCACCACAACTGGTTTTTTTGTTTCATTTTTGAGATTTTTAAAAACTAAATGTATGCACTAACAGTTTAGCGTGCTAAAACCTCCAAATTCTCTCTCTTCCCTCATTCACTGTAACCCACTTTCCATGGGTTCTCACTGCCCACTGTCAGGGTGATGACTTCCAGAACAGCCTCATGCCTATATAAAGGTGTGCTGGGTGGAGTAGGGGCGTGGACTCTCCAGGGGAAAAGGCTCAGTGAGGACCACGCAGGAGAGAAAAGACAAGGATTGGATCCTGGAAACTCAGAGCGCAGATCTGAGACCTGCTGCTGGTCTGGCCTAGCAGTGCAGGAGGATGCACTGAGGATTCCCTGAAGCACCCAGCCTCTCTCATCCCAGCTCCATTCACAAGCACAAGTAAGTACCAGCTTCGCCCCTCCATCCTGGTAGGGACCAAAGAGCACCAATCACAGGGTTTCCCAGCGAGCTGAATGGGATGGTCTGGCCTGTCTTTCTTGACAGCAGGCCTAGGATCCAGGAAGTGTCAAGGGCTCTGCAGGGAGCCAGGTGACTAGGCACAAGCGGGAAGATAGGGTCTCCAGTGCTGCAGGCAAATAGCCCTGAGGTCCCCTCCCATGGGAACACGAGAATCCTTCCGGGGTCAGGACTTACAATCCTGGGGCCCGGGTATAGGTTGGGGAAACCTGAGGGGACCCACCCCACAGGCCTTGTGCCTGGTAGCTGCGCGGGTCCCTCCTTCCCTCAGCAGCACCTCCCAGGAACAGACCTCTGAGGGAGGAAGGGCCCTACTTCACACACGTGCGGCCCAGGTCCCATACACACGGAAAGGGTGCTTATGCCCTACATATGTGACATCAGGTCAAAATTTTAGCGTAGACCGCTGAGCTATGGCTACCGCCCCAACCAATCAGGGCCACCCTCTTTTCCAGCCGCCGACCAATCAGTAGCGACTCCGAGATCTCCTAATGGTCAGAGGGTGGGTGGGGCGGACCGCGGGCGTGGCCAAGTGCTCCGGTCTGCAGGTGAGAGGCCCATTTTTTGTGTGTGTGTATTAAATTCTTTTATTGCTACATTGTAGGTATACAACACAATTACATTTCTCATTGGGAATTGTACCTTTACATAATGCATCTTGGTTCTTATTTTTTCCCCATT